AGTGGCGACAGTTTCACAGATCACAACCCCCCAGGGATGGCGAGGTCCCATTTGAATCCGCCGTGGGTACCCACTGTGCTGGGCCCCCCAGCAGCCCTCGAAAGTGGCGATAGTTTCACAGATCGCAGCCCCCCCAGGGATGGCGAGGTCCCATTTGAGTTTGCGGTGAGTACCCACTGTGCTGGGCCCCTCAGCAGCCCTCGAAAGTGGCGACAGTTTCACAGATCGCAGCCCCCAGCAGCCCTCGAAACGCAGCGACGAGCGAGGTAAGAAAATGGCGACAGTTTCACAAATCGCAGCCCCCCAGCGATGGCGAGGTCTAACTTGAATCCGCCGTGGGTGCCCACTGTGCTGGGCCCCCCCAGCAGGCCTCGAAAGTGGCGACAGTTTCACAGATCGCAACCCCCCAGGGATGGCGAGGTCCCATTTGAATCCGCCGTGGGTGCCCACTGTGCTGGGCCCCCCAGCAGGCCTCGAAAGTGGCGACAGTTTCACAGATCGCAGCCCCCCAGGGATGGCGAGGTCTAATTTGAATCCGCCGTGGGTACCCACTGTGCTGGGCCCCCAGCAGCCTCGAAAGTGGCGACAGTTTCACAGATCGCAGCCCCCCAGGGATGGCGAGGTCCCATTTGAATCCGCCGTGGGTACCCACTGTGCTCGGTCCCCCAGCAGCCCTCGAAAGTGGCGACAGTTTCACAGATCGCAGCCCCCCAGGGATGGCGAGGTCCCATTTGAATCCGCCGTGAGTACCCACTGTGCTGGGCCCCCCAGCAGCCTTCGAAAGTGGCGACAGTTTCACAGATCGCAGCCTCCCAGGCATGGCGAGGTCCCATTTGAATCCGCCGTGGGTACCCACTGTGCTGGGCCCCCCAACAGCCCTCGAAAGTGGCGACATTTTGACAGATCGCAGCCCCCAGCAGCCCTCGAAACGCAGCGACGAGCCAGGTAAAAGGCAAGGGGGGAGAGAGGGACGGGAAGGAAGGTTCGCGCGAGCAGTGCTCTATTCAAAACGAGGACCCAACGCAGGAGGGTTGGGAAAAACAAAAAAACGACTGGAGGTGTTTAGCCGGCCTCGGTGGAGCCTCGCCAAGCATCAAGACCGTCAATCAACAATTCAGGATGAAAAACCGGTCCAGGGGACATAGTCGAGACTTTTGGGGACCTCATATTGAAACAATCAGGACGTCACATATCTGGGGAAGTACCCCTGGCACAAGGTGCCCCCAGGGTTCCCAAGGAGGCCCCCACGGCCTCCAGAGCATCCCTCACGAGACCCAGGGGGCCCCAGGGGCTCCCAGACTGAGAGAGAAACTGGGGGCACCGCGTGCCAGGGGTACCTTGAGCAACCCCCGAGATTGGAGCGAGCCCAGACAGGCCCGCGCCGTGAAAAATCAGGGCGGGAGGTTCCGCCCAAAAACGACTCCAGGACGGGAGATGTTTTGAGGCCACTGTCGGCCTCGGGGGACCCTCGCCGGGCCTCGGGACCGGCAAAAAGCGACCCTGGATGGAGAACTGGTCAAAGGGAAAAGGTCGGGACTTCCAGGAGATCCGTATGTCGGGAGCGGCCGCGAGGGGGGGGATGACTAGGGGGGGGAATATCATGGCGGGGGCCATGATATCTCCCCGGATTTCATGGCGCCTCGTCTTATTGCAGCACGTCCCTGGCACCCCCCCGCCCCGTGGGGCCGCGCACATGCCGCTGGCCATGACTGCGCCCCCGCCTCCTGGACGCCCCCTCTCTTGGTCGGCCCCGAGAGTGGAGCAAATCGGGACGTCGCATGCCTGGGAGGGCCCGAGGACCGAGGAGCGATGGCCGAGGATCGAGGACCGAGGATCGAGGACCGAGGACCGAGGAGCGATGGCCCCTCAGCTCGAGGACCGAGGATCGAGGATCGAGGAGCGAGGATCGAGGAGCGAGGACCGAGGATCGAGGAGCGATGGCCCCTCCGCTCGAGGCTCCCTCCGATCGAGGGCCGAGGATCGAGCAGCGGAGGCCCTGCAGATCGAGGGGACAGAGCGGCGTGCAGCCGGGCCGGGGTATGAGATGGAGAGGTCGCTTCGGGGAGGGCACCCTCGTGTTTTTCGCGTTGGTTGGATGTTCTTTCGACTAGACGTAAGAGTGACCTTTCGCCGGAATGACCTTTGGTGCGGGCACAGACGGGTCCCCAGATGGATGAAAACGAAGCAGGAGCAGCGGCTTGCGCGCCCAGGTTTGGTCCCCCCGCGGCCCCCAACAAGCCGCGCACCAAAGGTCACTCTTACCCAGGGTCACTCTTGCGTGTAGCCGATTCTTGTGCATCCTGAGAAGGTGTCCTCGGTTGTTCTGTGTGTTCTGGCCGACGGAGGGTCTCACGTTCTCGGGGGGATGTGGTTCTGTCCTAGGTCCGGCTGTGAGCACAAATACTCAGAGCTCCGCGGATTTCGTGCGTCGGCGGTGGCCCCCCTGGCGGCGCCTCTGGCGCCGCCCCTAGCGCGCTCCGCGCGCCAGGGAGGGGTGTCCCGCGCAGATCCGAGGTTTAGTCAGGAGGGGAAAAAAAAACACAGACACAATTAATCGTCGACTCCCATGACAAAATGGGAAGATATGGGAAGCGGGGGGGAAGACGAAATCCCAGAAGATATGAGAAAATATGGGGGATCCTTATCTGTGTCTACTCATCTCTGTGTGTCCCTGGGCCCCTTCATCCAGGTGGTGTGTGGGTGCCTCGGCTCCGCCCTCGACCGCCACGCGCAGAGCGCCGGGCTGGGGCCGTGCCCCCCGAGACCGAGGATCGAGTCGGCGGGCAGGTGACGGGGCTCAGCGCCAGCGGGGCTCCACCAGAGAGCCGGACCAGGGGCTCAGACCAGGGGCCCAGAGCCAGGCGAAATGCCCGCTGCGCCACGGAGGCGACGCCCCGATGGATCTGTTCGCGGGCGCAAGCGAGGGGGCCGAGGGGCAGTCCGAGGCCACAGCAGACGAGCAGGAGCCCAAATTGCACACGAGACGACGCCCGGATGTCAAGAGAAGAAGGAAAAGCAGCAGAAACATAGATGTTCGACGGTCCGCGCGGATCCAGGACATCCGCGCGAAGCGCCAAAAGTTTATGTTCATGGCGCCTTTTCTTCATTTTTGCCGCACGGGGCCCCTGGAAGTCCCGACCCGTTCCCCGGGGCCGGTGAGGCCCGGCGAGGGCCCTCCGAGGCCGAGATTGGCCAAAAACCTCCCGACCCGATATCTTTGTTAACGACGCGATCCTGTCTGGCGTTGGATCTTGCAGAGCTGGAGTTTGGTTGAGCTAGGTTTGAGGGCCACTTGCGGCCCTGGAGGTGGCCTCACAGATTTCGAAGAAGAAAAAACACATAAACATAAACTTTTGGCGCTCCGCGGGGATTTCTTGGATCCGCGCTGCGCCCCCTCGGCGGCGCCCCCGGCGCTGGATCCGCGCCGGGGAGCGGGGTCCAGCGCGAATCCAAGAAATCCGCGGAGAGCGCCGAAAGTTTATGCTTATGTGTGTTTTGTTCTTCTTCTAAGATTGGCTGAGCCGGGCCTGGGGAGCCCCCCCCCAAAAAAAAATTGCAGCGCAGTGCTTCTGAATCGGTTGAGGCGGACTTGCGCTGAGCCGAGTTACTCTCAAGCAGTGGCGAAGCGTCCTGGCTTCCCTTCAAGCCCACCAAAGAATGTTCTCAGAATATTTTATGGTCTGCGCAAAAATGTTATTAGAACATTTCTGGCTGGGACTGTCTTGTTTTCTCACATCGGGCTTTGTTCTAAGAACATCGTTTTTGTTATAAGAACATTCTTTGTTTCTAAGAGCATGCCAGGACGGTCGGTCCTTGCTCAAGTTTCTGAATCGGTTGAGGCGGGTTCGCGCTGAGCTGAGTTACTCCACGCCCCATCGAGGCTCCTGCAGATCGGCTGCGCGCGTGATTCGGAGGGGTCGGAAGATGCTCGGGCGCTTCCATCGATGACTGGAGCTTTTCTGGCCTCGTGATGCGTTCCGGGTTCCTTTGTCTGGGACGCTTGGTTCTTTGGTCTTGGTTCCCTGCTGCCTTCCTCGGGTTCCTTGGCCTCGATCGTGGTTCCCTGCTGCCTTCCTCGTGCTCCTGGGTCCTGGTCTTGTTCTTGGTTCCCTGGTTCCCTGCTCTTGGTTCCTTGGTGTTGGTTCCTTGGTCCTAGTTCCTTGGTCTTGGCCCCTTGGTTCCTCAGTCTTAGCTCCCTGCTGCAACACAATGCAAACCAATGCCATGCAATGCCACGCAATGCCAAGCAATGCCAAGCAATGCAAAGCAGCATGCCAAGCAACCTGCCAAGCAATATGTCAAGCAACATGCCAAGCAGCATGCCACGCAGTGCACCCATGCAATAGGAAGCTTTCCCCTAATTGGGGTCGCGCTGGGTTGATTTCAATCCGCGGCCCCAGAGGTCCCGACCGCTTCCCTGTGAGTAGTTGTTCGCCCCAGGTGCACGATGGATTCTCCTGGTGCCCGAAGACGGCCCCCGAGGGTCGAAACCAGAGACAATCCGTGGACTGAAGCATCATATCGTCGGAGATCTGGGTATGTTCACCCGTGCTTCTTCATCTCCTCCTCCTCATCCTCCTCCTCCTCCGCCTCGCTCTTCTTCCTCCTCATCCTCCTCATCCTCCTTCTCCTCCTCCTCCTCCGCCATCCGACTCCTCGGATTCGTTGGTTCGTCATCTCTGCCTGCTGACTGTGGCGCTCACTGCCCTTTTGTTTTTGTGCGCGTTTTCTCTGACGGCGTTTTGACACTGGGCAGAAGGGGGGGGTCTGTTTGCTTGACGCGGCTGTTTGCAGCAGTGCGTCATATGGAGGGGACTCCACCTGCTCGAAGCAGGCGCCAAAAACAGCCAAGATCTACTCCAGGGGAGGTCCCGCAGGGGAGGGGGGTGCGAGGGCCCGCGCCGATCGGCAAAACAATGAATACGCTGAGGGCGTTCGTTAAGGAACGTGCCCAGGAGGCTTCAGACCCTCTATAGAGGGTTCCTTATCTGATGAGGGCGCCGGCGATATCCATGGCCAATCCACGAGTAAAAAGAAAACGATCACCTTCTGCCCTCTTGTTTTCCTGCCCACTGACTGTGGCGTCCATCGCGTCCCCGTGTTCCCCCGCGAGGGAGGCGGATGCCGCTCGCGGGCGAGCGCCGACGGCGGCGGGCCGAACCGGGCGGCCTCGGGCAGCCCCTCCAGGCGGCTGCATCCCCGACGAGCTGACCGAGAAGCTCTCCAACGAGCCCGGCACCCTCTCCATGCGGGGGGCGCCGGCGGGGGGTTGAGTTCCCGGACATGATCGCGTCGTGAAAAACGTCCGGACGGGAGGTGTTTGGCCAATTTCGGCCTCGGGGGTCCCTCGCTGGGCCTCGGGACCGTCAAAGAACGACTCGGGATGAAAAACTGGTCCTGGGGAGAGGGTCGGGACTTCCAGGGACCACGTATGGGAAAAATGTGGATGTCGCATGTCTGGATTGCTTGACTCGACGAAGAAACAGCGCCATAAACATAAACTTTTGGCGCTCCGCGCGGATGTCTAGGATCCGCGCTGGGCCCCCCCTGGCGGCGCCTCCGGCGCCTTCCCCTGGCGCGCGGAGCGCGCCAGGGAGGGGGCCCAGATGCTGTCAGCCCAGACATTCGACGTCCTGATTTTTTCCATATGGGGTCCCTGGAAGTCCCGACCCTGTCCACGGGACCGCTTTTTCGTCCCAAGTCGTTTTTGACGGTCCCGAGGCCCGGCGAGGGCCCCCGAGGCCGAAATTGGTTCAAAGCCTCCCGTCTGGATGTTTTAAACGACGCGGTCATGTCTGGGAGAGGGCTGGCTCGGGCTCCTCGGTCGCGCCGCATCGCCGATGTATCGGCGATGCGGCTCGATGTGAGGCCCGACTTTCTCCACGCCGACGTCTCGGATGTATCGCCAACGTTGACCATGCATCGCCGATGCATCGGCGACGTGTCGGTGATGCGGCGAGATCCTCCGGCTCCATCTAAGAGGCCACTAGCTTCTGGACGCCCGAAATGGGTACGGAAAGAATGGGTACAATGCCGAACAGCAGTTCCTGTCCATTCTGAACAGGATTCGCTGTCCACGCCGCCGCGGCCTGTGTTCACTCGAGACAGAAGGCCGCCTGCCCAGCAGCGGCCGCTGTTGGTTTTGGACAAGATTGGCTGTTGGGCATTGTACCCGTTTTTTCCGTACCCATTTCGGGCGTCCAGATAGCTTCCGAGACCGACATCTTCTCCACCCCGGCCCTGACTGCACACCGGCCCTTGCCGGGCCAGCGTCGGGCCCATGACCGTATGCCATACGCTTGCTCGGCCAGGCAACCGATCGTCGGGAGGAGGAGGAGGAAGAGGAGGAGGAGGAGGAGGAGGAGGAGGAGGAGGAGAAGGAGAGAGAGGAGGGAGGAGGAGGAGGAGGAGTGAGGAGGAGAGAGGAGAGAACCAGGAGGAGGAGGAGGAGGAGGAGGAGGAGGTGAGGAAGGAGGAGGATGGGAGGAGGGAGAAAGGAGGAGGAGGAGAGGAGAAGGAGGAGGAGGAGAAGGAGGAGGAGGAGGAGGAGGAGGAAGGAGGAGGAGGGGAGGAGAAGGAGGAGGGAGACGAGGGAGGGAGGAGGAAGGAGAAGGAGGAGGAGTAAGGAGCAGGAGGAGGGAGGGAGGAGGGAGGAGGAGGAGGGCAGAAGGAGGAAGGAGGAGGAGGGAGAGAGGAGGGAAGAAGGAGGAGAGGAGGAGGAGGAGGAAAGGAGGAGGAGGGAGAGGAGGAGGAGGTGGAGGAGGAGGGAGGAGGAGGAGGAGGAGGAGGAGGAGGAGGAGGAGGAGGGAGGAGGAGGAATGGAATGGAATGGGCTCCATCGCGGTGCGATACGAAAGGAAGGGAAACGAACTACGAGGCCTTCGCTCGGTTCGAAACCTTCGAAACCTGATCCTTGGGATATCTCCCAAGCTCGAAATTGGTGAGGTATCGTCTCCGAGCCGTGCTGAGAGGCTTGGAACACGGCTCGGCGAGGCTGCTGCTGAGTTTCTCACCTCCGAAGAAACCGCAAGTGCTGCATAACCATATTCGGTGGGCAGGGGCATACACAAGCTGATGGGACGGGTGAACCCAGCTTCCCCTTATATGAACCTGCTTCCCCCTCGGCAACTGAAACTTGTCGGACCCTACGGCAATCAACTCGAAACACGGGGAACGCAACCACGCAGTGAGGGCCTCCTGGGACGACTGACCACGACATCGCAAACATCTAGTGCCTTTGCTGTCGAGGCAGTGCTGGGAGGCAAACAGTGCAATGGAGGAGGGAGCGGGAGGGGGAGGCGGCCTTGTCGTACAGGTACGGCTGGGGCTCGGGCGAGCTGTCATCGCCTCGAGCGTCGAACGTAACAACCTCCGACGAACCAAGCTGGCGTCCACCTCCGTTCTCATGACCCGTGACCGAATCTCTGGCGAGAGCCGACATTTTTTCGGAGGGAGGAGGAGGAGGAGGAGGATAACCAGGAGGAGGAGGAGGAGGAGGAG